GCCCAGCCCAGTTCAGCTGAGTCGCCGCCCCTGCAGGTGCAGCAGCCGCAGCAGCCGCCGCAGTCGCAGCCTTCGCAGCAGCCGCAGCAGCCGTCGCAGACGCGGCAGACGAGTGTCCTCCCGCCAGGGGTGGCCCGGCGCTAGCGGTGGCCGGGCGCGTGGTGGTGTGCCGCGTGGTGGCTCTGGCGGCGGGCGTTGTCAGTACCAGATCCAGACCGGTCCTCGCCGCGGCTTCGTTTGCGGTAAGATCGGTCACTCCACTCCCCGCTGTTTTCGTCGCCTGGACGACCTCTTTCGTCAGCGCTTCGGGCCCGTCGCCAGACCTCCCGGACTGGCACAGTTTGCTTAGTCGTCAGATTCAGATCTTTGATATGGACATGGATGCCATTGTTTCCGCTCTGCATGTGATGTATGCTGATGACTCTAGTGTGCTTCCCGTTTATTACTCACTGTTGCCTAGTGTAGGTGTGCCTAGCTTAGCCTCCCCTGTTGCGTCAGGCGTAGGATCCCTGCTTTGTGTAGTCTTGGTGCTTCCGCCGTCGTTCCGTCGCCAGACCCCTCGGCTTCGCTTTCCTTCACCTTGGACTCTGGCGCCTCTCGGTGTTTCTTCCGCGACTCCACCACCCTGACGCCGCTTCCCGTTCCTGCTGCCGTTTCTCTTGCTGACCCCTCCGGCGGTCCGGTAGTCGCCCGCAGTTCCACCACCCTTCCCTGTCCGGCGGTTCCTTCGGGTTCTCTTACAGGTCTGCATATCCCCTCGTTCTCCAGGAACCTAGTTGGTGTCGGCTGCCTCCAGGACCTTGGCGTCACCACTACGTTCCCTGGCCACGAGCGGTATGCTGTCTGTATCGAGGCCGCCACTGGTGCCCCCCTATCCACGTTCCCCCGGGGACCCGGTGTCCGGCCTGTTCACTCTGGACACCGTGACCCCCCCGGCTGGAGCCCCCTCAGGTGGCTGCGTCTACCCAGGTTGCTGCTGCCTGCTCCTGTCGCTCCCTCACTCACCCGACCCTCCTGTGGCACCACCGCCTAGGTCACCCTGCGCTCCCGCGTCTGCGTCACATGTCCCAGCACGGTCTGTCCTTGGTCTCCCAGGTTCCTCCCCGCGTTTCCCTCCTCCCCAGCCCCACCTTGCACGCCTTGTGTCGAGGGTCGGCTTCGCCGTGCCCCTCACTCCTCCTCGTTTCCCCCTACCGCCGCGCCGCTGCAGACCCTGCACCTGGACGTCTGGGGCCCCGCCCCCGTCCCTGGGCCGCGTCGAGAGCGCTACTTCCTTGTGCTTGTCGACGACTTCACTCGTTACACCACAGTCTTTCCCCTGGAGCGCAAGGCCGACGTGCCTGGCGCTCTCATCCCCTGGCTTGTCTCTGCGCGTGTCCACCGCGGTCTCCCTGTCTTGCGTCTTCACTCAGACCGTGGTGGCGAGTTTGCCTCAGGTGTCCTTGGTCGCTTTTGTCGTGCGGAGGGCATCACCCAGACGTTCACCCTACCGGACTCCCCACAGCAGAATGGGGTCGCTGAGCGACGCATCGGTTTGGTCATGGAGGTCGCTCGCACCTCCATGATCCATGCCGGTGCACCCCATTTTCTGTGGCCGTTCGCTGTGCGCTACGCTTCTCACCAGCTTAACCTGTGGCCGCACCCTCAGCAGCCGCAGGTTTCGCCGACCCGTCTTTGGACTGGGTCTCCTGGTGACGCGTCTGCGTTCCACGTCTGGGGCTGCCTTGCTCACGTCCGTGCCTCCGGCACGGACAAGCTCACTGCCCGCACCCTTCCCTGCGTCTTCCTCGGTTTTCCCCTTGACGCGTCCGACTGGCACTTTTACCACCCGCCGTCTCACCGCTTCTTTCACTCTCGTGACGTCACCTTTGACGAGTCCGTCTCCTACTACCGCCGCTTCCCCACCGTGGTCCCCCGGTTACCCCCCCTGTTCCTGGTCACCCTTCCCCGGTAGTCCCTGCCCCTCCTCCTCCTCCTCCCCGTCCCGCCCCCTCTGGTGTTGTCCCACGTCACCCCCCTTCCGTCCGTGGACCCGGTTGAGGAGTCTTCTGACTCTGGTGGCCCTCCTGCAGTCCTCGCCGGCCGCCCCTCCCCAGGTGTCCCCTCCCCAGTCCCCTCCTCCACCGCCCTCCGTGCTGCAGCCGTCGCGTCGCCGCGCCGCCGCGCGCGTCGCCGCCCCGCCGCTGCCGGGTCGCAGCCCCGTGCTGAGGGGTGGTCCCTCTGGGGGTGCTGGTGTGGAGAGTGCCGGTGGTAGCCGAGGAGCAGCTTGCGGTCCAGGTGTCGCCGTTGTGCCGCCGCAGCAGCAGTCCCCGCCGGTGTCCGCCTTCGCCTGCTCGGCCTTCCGTCCCCCGACCCTGCGTCGGTTCCTCCCCGACCGTCTCCTCCTCTCTTCCTGTCTACGGCCCTGTTTTCCCTCCGCCGGACTCGTCCCCGGCTCTCCCCCTCGTTCCCCTCCTGTGTCCCCTCCCCTGTCTCCTGACCCGACTCCTCCGTCGCACGTCTGGTCTCACCGTCCCTCCCGTGCTCGTCCTGCCTCGCCTGTCTTGCGCTCCCACCCTATGTTGCTTCGTTCCCACGCGTCTCGTCCTCCCCTTCTGCCGTCGCCTCCTCCGTCCTCCCTTGTTGTTGCGCCCCCCCGCTGTCCGACTACCTTCGTGCCGCTCGTCCTCTCGTTCCTCGGGTCCTTGCCTCTCTCGTTACCGACCCGTCTGTTCCGGTCTCGTGCCTTGACGCTCTTGTCGCTGCTGTCGCTGACTTCGCCTCTACCCGCCGCCTTGACTACGCCACCGCTCTGGTCTCTGACCCTGCCTGTCCTCCGTCTGTCGGGGGTGCTCCTGCCCTTGGCAGTGACGTCCTGGAGGACCGCCAGTTCGAGCTTGCTTTCCTCTCCGAGGCTGCTCCCCATCTCTGTTCCATGCTGCTAGTCCCTGAGGGTGACCCAGACGCTTTCGACATCCCGACCCCTCGCACTTACGCTGAGGCGACTTCGGGACCCTGGGCCTCGCAGTGGATAGCTGCCATGGAGCAGGAGATGGCATCTTGGAGATCCACCGGCACCTTCGTCGACGCAGTTCCCCCACCTGGGGTGAACGTAGTCGATGGCCGCTGGCTCTTCAAGGTGAAGCGCCCTCCTGGAGAGCCGCCTGTCTTCAAGGCGCGCTATGTGGCTAGAGGCTTCAGTCAGCGCGAGGGGGTGGACTTCTTCCAGACTTTCGCTCCGACCCCGAAGATGACTACTCTTCGGGTTCTGTTACACCTAGCTGCTCAGCGTGACTACGAGCTTCACTCCCTCGACTTCTCCACTGCCTTCCTTCAGGGCAGCCTACACGAGCAGGTCTACCTGCGTCGCCCTCCGGGCTTTACTGGCACCTTCCCTCCTGGGACCCAGTGGCTCCTGCGGCGCCCCGTCTACGGCCTGCGCCAGGCTCCCCGTGAGTGGCACGACACTCTCGTGCTACGCTTGCTGACCTGCAGTTCTTTCCGTCTTCCGCAGACCCTTCACTCTTCGTTCGTGCTGGCCAGACTCCGTTCTACATCCTTGTTTACGTCGACGACCTGGTCTTTGCCACAGCAGACAGGGACGCACTGGCCTCCGTGAAGGCAGAGCTGCTGAAGAGACACACCTGCACTGACCTTGGAGAACTGCGCCGTTACCTTGGCTTGCAGATCTCCAGGGACAGAGCTGCGCGCACCATCACCCTGACTCAGTCACACTTGGTGCGCCAGGTCCTTCAGAGGTTCAGCCTTCAGTTCTCCTCTGCACAGCCCACCCCTCTGCCTGTAGACCACAGACTCTCCGCTCCAGTGCCTGAGGAGTTGGTAGAGCCCAGCGGCCCCTACGCAGAGCTGGTGGGTTGCCTCATGTACCTGATGACTTGCACTCGCCCAGATCTCGCATACCCTCTCAGCATCCTGGCTCGCTTTGTGGCCACAGGCAGACACCGACCGCAGCACTGGTCTGCCGCTAAGAGGGTTCTGCGTTATCTTGCTAGTACATCGGGCATGGGGTTAGTGCTAGGAGGACGCAGGCCAGTGGTCCTTACTGGACACACAGACGCTTCGTGGGCAGACGACGCTGAGACACTCAGGTCTACCCAGGGCTACTGCTTCAGCCTTGGCTCAGGTGCCGTCTCGTGGAGAGCTACTCGCTCCTCGTCTGTTGCGCAGTCCAGCTGTGAGGCTGAGATCTACGCTGGTGCCATGGCGGCACAGGAGCTCCGCTGGCTGACCTTCTTGCTCACTGACTTAGGTGAGCGGCCTAGCTCTGCCCCGGTCCTGTTCGCTGACAACAGGGCCATGATCCTCCTGTGTCAGGAGCCTCGACTCGAGGGCAGAGCGAAGCACATTCAGCTGCGGTACTTCCTCCTGCGTGAGCTACAGCAGCGACGTCAGGCTCGCGTAGTACACTTGGCCTCAGGTGCCAACACGGCTGATATCTTTACGAAGGCGCTTGCGCCTAAAGATCATCAGCGGCACTGTGTACAGCTTGGTCTAGTTCCTGTAGCCTCTCACTTGCTAGGACCTTGACTTTGTACTGTCCTTTATATGTATACTCAGACTGGACTTGTGTCCTCTCCCAGTGGCTGGACTAGTAGTGCCGCCCTGCTCTTGTTCTTGCCTTGTCTGTACTCCTTCTGACTGGTCTCTCAGACCCTTGTCTCAGAGGTTGGACTAGTAGTGCCGCCCTGAGCTGCTTGTTTAGGTATTCCCCTATGCAGTCTAGGGGGTGTGTCAAACATCTGTATTTGTTATGTTTGTATAGACTGTATAGGGTTACCTCTTAGAGGGTACAACACTTAGGTATATTTGTGTGTACTCTCACTTTACCATTAATTCAATTTTCAATTCTGATACTATAACCGTCTCTTCTGGTCTTGTGAAGGGGGCATTCGAGCTGGTAAAGCAACCAGCTGTTCAATTAAATAAGAACAAGGCCTGAATAATTACACCTAGAAACCTTTCATATAAGTTATGCATCAAGTTCGCTACAAGAAGACAATGAATGTGTTGTAAGTCTATTCCTAAATAAGATGGTACCCATAATCGTTACGTTCGGTCTTAGGCATGGAGTCTTGATTGTGCCATATGCTTCACTACAGGACCATTCATTCTACAGAACTTACAATACAATAAGTAAGCCATCACAAGGCCACTTTATTCCTTTGTTGCAATTGCACTAAAGTGGCATAAGCACCATTATGTACACCTATGAGCTCCATATGAGTGCCCTGTTCCACCAGCTTCCCATCCTGCACCACACACGGAGCATTGAGCAGAGAGCAGAGACAGCTGATAAATAGACAAGATGGTTGCATATGGCCTGAATTCAGCCACCCCTTAAGGCCAGGCTACTCAAGTACTCACCTAAACACGCATATGCTTCACCCCCCATGCTTCACCCCCTATGCTTCACCCCCCATGCTTCAGCCCCATGCTTCACCCCCCATGCTTCACCCCCCATGCTTCACCCCCATGCTTCACCCCCATGCTTCACCCCCCATGCTTCACCCCCCATGCTTCACCCCCCATGCTTCACCCCTCATGCTTCACCCCTCATGCTTCAACCCCCATGCTTCACCCCCCATGCTTCACCCCCCACTTTGTTCCCAAAACAAGCACAGACCCCCTTCACCCCCGCCCCGCCCCCTCTCTCTCCGGCCTCACCTGCAACACAGCAACGCAGTCCGCGTGGGAGATGGCGGGGAGGTGAGCTTTGAGTCGACTCAAAACTCACCTTGTGGGAGGTGGTGGAGAGGCGGTGCGCTACTTACTCACCTCCCACCCTCTCCCCCCTCCTCCCTCTCTCCCCTATGTTTTCTCCCTTCTCACCTGCAGCACAGCTATGCAGTCCGCATGGCAGATGGTGGAAAGATGGCGCCAAAAGCTCACCTCCCACTCTCCTTCCCCCCTCCTTTCCCCCCCTCTCCTCTCCCTCCTATCTGCCCTCTCCCCCTCGCCTGCAGCACAGTGATGCTGTCCGCATGGCAGATGGTGGACAGCCAGTGCGCCGCTTACTCACCTCCCACCCTCCCCCCCTCCTCCCTCTCCCCTCCTCCTCCCCCCTCGCCTCTCTGCCCCGATGTCCCCTCTCACCTGAAGCACAGCAATGGAGTCCGCGTGGCAGATGGTGATCAACCACCACTCCCCCCTATCTGCCGGTGTGACAGTTACTCACCTCCCTTCCTCTCTCATCCCCCCTCCCTCTCCCTCCTTTCTACCCTCCCCACCTCACCTGCAGCACAGCGATGCTGTCCGCATGGCAGATGGTGGACAGCCACCATCCCCCCCTATCTGCCAGTGTGACAGATACTCACCTCCCTTCCTCTCTCATCCCTCCCTCCCTCTCCCTCTTATCTGCCCTCTCCCCCTCACCTGCAGCACAGCGATGCGGTCCGCATGGGGGATGGTGGAGAGGTGGTGCGCCACTTACTCACCTCCCACCCTCTCCCTCCTCCCTCTCCCCCCTCGCATCTCCCCTCCTATGTCCCCTCCTACCTGCAGCACAGCGATGCAGTCCGCATGGCAGATGGTGGACAGCCGGTGCGCGACAACGATCGTGGTACGGCCAATCATGATGCGGTTCAGTGCTGACTGGACCGCCAGCTCAGACTCCGCGTCCAGCGCTGACGTGGCCTCGTCTAGCAACAAAATAGCCGGGTCTGTGAGAATAGCCCGGGCGATGGCGATGCGCTGCTTCTGGCCTCCTGACAGCTGCACTCCTCTCTCTCCCACCTGCGTGGTTAGTCGGGGGAAGGGTGGGGGAAGGGTGGGAGGAGAGTGGGATGAGTGGCCTTGTCTAGCAGCAGCATGGCCAGGAATACGAGAAAGGCTCGGGCGATGGCGATGCCCTGCTTCTGCCCTCCTGACAGCTGCACTCCTCTCTCCCCCTCCTGCGTGGTTAGTAAGGGGAAGGGTGGGGGAGGAAGAGGAGAGTGGGATGAGTGGCCTCGTCTAGCAGCAGCATGGCCGGGACTCTGAGAATGGCCCGGGCGACAGCAATGCGCTGCTTCTGGCCCCCAGATAGCTGCACTCTCACCTGCAAGTCAGCTGTGAAGAAGGGGGGAGCGGGGGGCAGAGAAAGGGGGCTTTGATAAGGGGTAGCTGACAGCTGCACTCACCGCTCTCCCACCTGCAAGTGAGATGGAAGAGAGGGGGGTGGGAGAGTGGGGGGGAGGTCAAATCAGCCATCTCTCCGCAGGTGAGAGATAGCTTCATCAGCCATAGCCCCCTCATAGCTGCATGCAAGAGCAGCTCCCTCATCTGCGTGCCATAGCCCTGGGGCAGACCACTTATGAACCCCATGCACGCTGGCTGCTCTTGCTGCCTCCACCACCTGCTGTGTGTCTCAAGTACACGAACCATGCTTGTATGCGGCCCCCTCACCACGAACCATGCTTGTATGCGGCCCCCTCACCACGAACCATGCTTGTATGCGCCCCCCTCACCACGAACCATGCTTGTATGCGGACCCCTCACCACGAACCATGCTTGTATGCGGCCCCCTCACCACGAACCATGCTTGTATGCGGCCCCCTCACCACGAACCATGCTTGTATGCGCCCCCCTCACCACGAACCACTTGTATGCGGCCCCCTCACCACGAACCATGCTTGTATGCGCCCCCACCACGAACCATGCTTGTATGCGGCCCCTCACCACGAACCATGCTTGTATGCGGACCCCTCACCACGAACCATGCTTGTATGCGGCCCCTCACCACGAACCATGCTTGTATGCGGCCCCCTCACCACGAACCATGCTTGTATGCGGCCCCTCACCACGAACCATGCGTATGCGGCCCCCTCACCACGAACCATGCTTGTATGCGGACCCCTCACCTGCGTGTCATAGCCCTGGGGGAGCATATCCCCATCCACGCAGGTGGGGAGACTGCTAATGAACCCATGGACGTTGGCAGCCCGCGTTGGATGCCTCAGCTGCATCTGATTGAATGAGAGCAGCTCCCTCACCTGCGTGTCGCAGCCCTGGGCAGACAGCTTATGGACGCACGCACGCTGGCTGCCTCTTGCTGCCTCCACCACCTCTGCTGTGTGGCAACTACATCAACTGTCGCTCAGCTGCATGCATCAGCGATGTAGGAAAGAGCAGCTCCCTCACCTGCGTGTCGTAGCCCTGGGGCAGACCGCTGATGAAACCATGCACGTTGGCAGCCCGTGCTGCTTCCACCACCTCTGCTTCGGTTGCGTCTGGCTGACCATACAGAATGTTCCCACGGATGCTGCAGAGGGGGCATGGGAATAGAACCAGGAGAATGGCATGGGGCGTGCACGAAACAAAACCAGGGTGGCGAAACAAAACCAGGGTGGCGAAACAAAACCAGGAATTAAGTTCAGAGAAGGGAAGTGATTGAGCATAAGGGTTTGCACTCACACTGGAAATGCCAGTGCCCCTGTGGCCAAGGCAGCAGAACCGGAGTAACCTGCACCGCATAACGACTATGCACCATAAGAGCTCACCTGGTGGCGAATAGAGCCGGCTCCTGGCTGACCAGCCCGATAAAGGATCGCAGCGTCTTCAGATGGACGGTCCGGATGTCCTCCCCATCCACTCGCACACTACCAGCCGTCGGATCGTAAAACCGCTCCACCAGGGCCACCAGAGAACTTTTTCCGCTGCCCGAAGGCCCACCAGCGCCAGCATCTTTCCGGAGCTGCCGGAGAGAAAAGTTTTTCAGCACGGGCCTCCCGGGCGGGTCGGGTAGGCGAAAGAAACAGATCGGAATTCAATTTCCCCCCGAACAGTAGAAACCACCTCAGCCGTCGATCATCCGAAAGAATCCTGGGCGTCGATCGGTGGTCTTGAAAAACCGATCTAATGGCCACGCTTCCCTTGGCAATATCCGGCGCAAGCGTAATACTCTCAGCTATAGCCATGGACGTCATAATCAGCACCATAAAGGCTTTAAGTACATCCCCATAGGACGCCGTATTGGGAATTAAAGTCGACCCGAACCACAGCGCAAGCGCGTAGGAGCCATACATAAAAAACTGGCTTAGCCGAAACCTGCCCCCAATTTGCCCGCGAAGAAAGGAGCGCCTTAGCGGGCCCCGCCAGCCTGGCAGTGAAATGCGAGACTTTGTCCTGGGCGTGAATGCTGCTACCAGTGCGGATGTTTGCCACTGCTTCTGCTGCCACTGTGTTGCGCGCGCGTGCGAGGCGCTCTGGTTCCAGCGAACCCGGCTAGGAATTGTTGGCTGCAAGGAGGGGATGGGGTGTTGGTGACCAATGGGTGATGGAAGAAGAGAGAGGGGGTTGGTGTGTGACTTCACCTCACCCACGCAAGCTCGAGGGGGTGATGAGATCACTCAAGACCACTGCTCTCTGCAAATCACTCACCTCCATAAGAGCAGCAAAGACGAGCAAAGACCACAAACCGGATCACAATTGCAATCCCAGCCACCGAACATTCTGCGTGGAGAGAGTATTCTTTGAGCCATGCAGAATGTCTCGTGGTTGTGCCCACTACCCCCTCACCCCATGAGCGCTGCAAACACCAGCAGAGGGAACGTGGCAATGACCACCAAGCCACGCGCCACTCCACCATGAACCCATCACGAAACGCAATCACAACCACCGAGAATTCTGTGTTGCCAGAGCGATCCGGTCCGCCACGGCAAGCTCAAGGGCAGTACTGGTCCCAGCGACCAGGCTCACTCACCTCCATAAGAGCCGCGAAGACCAAGAGCGAAAGGTCGCAATCACCACCAACGCCCACTCCACCACGAACCCGATCACGAACGCAATCACAACCACCGAGAGATTCTGCGTTGCCAGAGCGATCCGGTCCGCCACGGCTGCCTTGACCAGAGTGGCGTCGGTGGCTAGTCGCGAGGCGATGGCGCCACTGGCGTTGGCGTCTTGATCGAACCACGCCACCTCGTTGCGAAGGATGGCTGCATAAGGAGGGGAGGGAGAGAAAGGAAGACGGAGGGAGCAGCAATTATCATTCGGTTCGGCCCGCCACAGCTGCTTAGACTAAAGTGGCGTCGGTGGCTGGTCGTGACGCGATGGCTCCGCTGGCGTTGGCGTCTTGGATCGAGCCATGCTATCTCGTTGCGAAGGATGGCCGAGTCCCCAGGCTACAACCCACAGCACCACCTCGCACCACAACCCTTCTCACCACAGCCCCCCCTCACCAGAGCCCCTCCTCTTTCTCCCCGCCGCCCCCCCCTTCTTCCCTCCTCTCTTCCCCCGCCCTCTTCCTCACCCACCTCCCAGCAGGCCGAGCCCTGTGAGCACCTATGGGCCATGGCCCACTTGTTACCGTTTTGCGGCGCCTCAAAACTAGACTCCTGTAAACACCTATGGCCCGCTTGTTACCGCCACCCAGCACCCCACCACCTGCCAGCATCTTCTCTCGAACCCGCTTCACCAGCGCCTCCCCCGACACCCCGAAGCCGTAGTGCTGCACTGTGTGCACCGGCAGGGACAGCACGCCGAGCCCGGTGAACACGATGGCCCACTTGTTGACCTGCCGCTTCATCTCGTCCGTGTCGGGGTTGTAGAGCGCTGCTATGACCTGAAAGGAGGAAGACGAGTGGCGAGGGTGAGAAAGGAGAAGGGAATGCGGGGGAAAGGTGAGGTGAGACTAACACCCTGTGGCCCACTTGTTGACCTGCCGCTTCGTCTCGTTCATGTCGGGGTTGTAGTGTGCCACTATGACCTGAAGAGGAGGAAGGAGGGTGGCCAGAGATGATAATAAAACGGGAAAGATGAATTGAGACGGACACAGTACGGCCCACTTGTTGACCTGCCGTTTCATCTCGTCCGTGTCGGGGTTGTAGAGCGCTGCTATGACCTGTGAGGAGAGTGGGAGGGGAGGGGCAGCAGATAAGGCCGCACTATGGCGCACTTGTTGGCCTGCCGCTGCATCTCGTCTGTGTCGGGGTTGTAGATCGCTGCTATGACCTGTGAGGAAGGGAGAGGAAGAAGGGGGGGAGGCCACGACCTGCAAACACTACACACCACACTCACACATGCACATGCCCTTAGCCCCACTCCCATGCACATGCACTGTAGCCTCCCACCCCACTCACGTCAACGAGCACAGCGCATACACGGGGTTGAGCGGCCTGCCATGATAGCACCTGCCATACCCAGTGCAGGAAACGGCCACTCTGCTGCACTCATCGCAGCCAGCCACGCACACTCCACTCATACATGCCACTAGTCAGTCACACACACACGCACTACAAGTGTCCCACTCTCGCGATCAGCAGCACACTCGCACCATAATCACACGTGCACTAGTCACACTCACGTCGATCAGCAGCAGCGCATACACGGGGTTGAACGCGCCTGCCAAGACAGCACCCGCCACGCCCAGTGCAGTGAACGGCCACTCTGCTGCACTCATTGCAGCCAGCCGCCACCACGTCGCCTTAGGTCGCCCCGCCTCTACTGTTGCTTCCTCTCCCTTCTCTCCATCTCCTCCCCCCAACCCTCCTTTTCACCTCCCCCCCTTTCGTCCCTCTCTTCTTGCCCCAGGCAGCAAGCCCCTGAGAGGGCCAGGTAACACCTTCCTCAGTTCACCCCACACTCTCTTCCCCTCCCTCCCCCTTCCACTCCCTCTCCTTCCTCCTCATCCTCTCTCCTCCTCCCAGTTCTTTCCTCTGGTCCACGTCAGCAGTGCCCACGTCAGCACCAAGCCCACTGTGCCCACGTCAGGGACGCCTCTGAGAGCGAGCTCAAGCCAGAGAGATCTTTCGCCCTACATCCTCCTCCTCTCCTGATTGGTCCACGTCAGCAGCATGAGGGTCGTCTGCTTGCAATCTAAGCCCTGATTGGTTGGTGCATCCTGCCCGGTTACCATCTGCAAGCCGCACCAGATTAGCATACACACCCCGCCCTTCCTCCCCCTTCCCCTTCCCTTCCCCTTCCCCTTCCCCTTCCCCTTCCCCTTCCCCCAAGAGCCATCAACTCCTCATGGCTCCCCTCCTCCACCACCCCCCCCCGCCACAACGGCGATCTTATCCGCATGTCTTATCGTAGACAGCCGTGCGCGATCACAACCGTCGATCTCCCCCTCGAGTCCCGCCGTCCAGCGCGGCCCTGAACCGCGCGCCCGATTCGCTGTCCAGCGCGGACGTGGCCTCGTCCAATAGCAGCACGCGCGGGTTGCGGATGACGGCTCGGGCGATGGCAATGCGCTGCTTCTGCCTCCTGACAGCTGCACTCCGCGCTCGCCCACCTGGTGTCATGTGGGGGGGAGGTGGAAAAGAGAGGGTAGAAGAGGGGGCTCACGTGCTTGCAAGCTCTGGCTTTGCGAAATGACAACTTCCTGCCTGTTCCCCCTCTGGGCTGCCACAACATTCGCGTTATAAGGCCCTCAAAACAGACTGATCTTCCCTCCAGACGGTTTCCAACTACCAACACAGAACCTCTCACCTGCGTGTTGTACCCGTGGGCAGCGCCCGCACGAGCGAGTGAGCGTTGGCACCCCTGTTCCGAAGCCCCGCACACCACATGCTACAGCGATCAAGTACCTGTGTGTTGTACCTGG